AAGATCCTGAACAGATACAGTGGAGATTCTGAAAACAGCAATGCTTCGTAATTGAGGAATCTTCATATAATCTTGTGAGGATTTCTTAATTTGCAAATCTATCGAATCTTTCGATTTTCTTGCTAAGATTCTCTTCGTATATAGTTCTAAATCCTATTATCCTCTTACGATGAAGAGTTTGACGAAAATTTTGCAAGAATCTGACAAAATCCTGCTAGAACTTTCTCCTCAAATCCTGTTAGGAACTGACTATAGTTGAATTTTCTTGGAGTAGAAACAAAAGTCAAATGTAGAATTCTTTCGCCTTTTAATACACATTCTTAAAGATCAATATTAAGCTGATAAGTCTTTTGTTACAAAATGATAACAATATTAAATGTTTATAATGTGTGGGTGGGTATTGTCACAATACGAACATCATCAATACCAAATGATATTGGTATTGTTACATCCCTAAAATTTTCATTAAACAAAAGCTTTTTTGAGAAAATAACAATTTGGTATAAAGTTTGAACAAAAGTTTTCGTAGTCGGGGAATTTTTGAATCTGCAACTAGATTTTCACAATTCTGTACTTGATATTCTTTGACTAAAAAAAAGGGTTCCTGAGAAAATAATGATTTTTTATTAAGTTAGCTCATAGATAGTTGGGTAAAGTTTACTTGATCGAGAAATCAAGTACATGGTTTGAGAATCTGATTCCACGTTCAGATTCTTCGATCTCGAGCACCTTTGGTCAAAACTTAGAAAAGAATCATTATTTTCTCAAAAAACCCTTTTTGGTTTAGTGAAAATTTTAGGAATTTAATAATACTACTACCACTCAATACCAATACCTCGATCCTGTATTGGTATTGTGACATACTTAATATCCACCTACACTTACTCGCATACACCCATTCTAGTAAGATGCAGATAAAATCTGAGCATGTTTCAGTTTCGGATCCGTACACGGTTCATTATTTTCCAGCATTTCTAGACGATGTTTTGTAGTAGATCTTTCTCTAAAAACCTGATAAAACTTTAACGTTACTCCTTCTACCTCTCCGAGTAAAACTCTGCTTTCCGTACAACAAAAGAAGTCCTCACCTGGTACTTCTAGAAAGCTAACTAAAAATTGTTATGTTTCCCTATGAAATGCTTGGATAAGATTAGCATTAGCGTGCTCAGTATTTCAAAAACAGAAGGCGTTCGATTTTAAAGATTCCCATAGAATCTTGTCAAGTTTCCTCAATTTCGTATGCATACTAGCTTTCTTATGATCTTGCTAAGACAACATCACAATTATTCTTTGAACAGCTGGCATGAGTTCTCAGAAACCTAGTAGAGCCACATCTTCATCCTCTATACGAATATTTACGAGACTCTTGGACAGATTTGCATCGATGATCCAGAAAGTCATGTGATCAGGAATTTTCTTCAAGCAAGTGAAAAGTATCCTAAACGATATTTACTGTTGACAATGCACATTTATTTTATAAGCAGCAAAATTCTCATCCTTGATATGCTCCAAATAAAACTCTAATAGAATCTTCTCGAGATGTTTCCAGTTTGTAAGAATCTGAGTATACATTGTTGAATTACTTAACCCGTTGAGGGCAAAGGCCGTATATATACGGCCTCAACATTTGAATGGGTTAGTAAAGGAATTACTCACTAGTTCCATCTATAGTATATAGCGATAACTTGACGGAGCTCATTAGTGATATTCTGTAAACGTTAGGGATATCTTTCGTAATGCATCATCCATGATTCATGATGATCTGTGCAGGACTGTAAACCAAGCAGACTTATTACACAATATCTTACTTCTCTCTTGTACCTCAAACAACGGCAAGAAAAACTTCTCAGAAACAATGTGTTGTATTTGCACATACTAACAAAGAAGACCTAAAAGGAAAACAGATTCACGTTATATGTGTAAATATTGTGATGTGGACCTTTGCGTAGTTGGTTGCTTCGAGGAATTTCATACCTTGATAAACTTTTAGTTTTTTTTTTCTTCCTATGCTTTTTTCATTTCAAAATAAACTACCTGCATGTTTTAAATGACGTCTATGAACAATAATTATGACCATTAATGACTTTGAAAATATAATTAATTTTGGCAACACAATTTCATTTTTTATGAAAAAATAAGTCCGCCCTCAACAGGTTAAAACTATGTCTGCATTTCATCGTATAAACAACGAATAAAATCTTTCGATCCTTGCTTTCCTATCGAGAATATCCATAGGATTAGCACTGACTTTCTCAGTATTCTAAAGATGTTACTTCGCGAAAAATTCCTTTCTAGAAATTTAAAAGACTCTGGCAAGAATTAAAACATGTCCTGCAATCATAGATTCTCGTAAGAATCGTTGTGAAGCTCTTTTTTTTTGTCATAGAAAACTAAGAAAAAGGTTTTCCAATTTATGTCTGTGGGGAAGAACCTTTTGCTTGTTTAGAGTATGTGAGGAAATGACATTCTGGAAAGTTTTATCAAAATTCCCTTTGAAGAAGAAGAATGTCTTATTCTTAGGCAAGGTAGATAATGATTCTTTTTCTATTTCTCGTTCATTGTAGTGGTTCCCAATATTCCAGTCAATGCCCAATGGGCACAGAATGGAATGACCGTTGCTGGAGGCAATGGATTGGGCAGTGCTACCAGTCAACTCCAACTCCCTCATGGTCTCTTCATTGATGATGATCATACGATGGTCATCACTGACCGGTTCAATCATCGTATCGTTCAATGGAAGATGGGTGATACGAATAGTAAAGTGGTAGCTGGTGGGCATGGCTTTGGAGATCTATTAGATCGATTGAATTATCCAACCGATGTATTGATCGATAAAGAGACGGATAGTCTCATCATTTGTGATCGAGAGAATCGACGAGTCACACGATGGTCTCATCGTAGTGGTACAATCCAAGTAGAAATCCTCATTGATAATATCTGGTGTTATGGATTGGCTATGGATGATCAAAGATATCTCTACATCTCTGACACCGACGAAAACGAAGTAAGACGATATCAAATAGGAAGCAAAAGAGGAACTATCGTGGCCGGTGGTCATGGCGAAGATGATGGTCTCAATCAACTCAACGTTCCAGTCTATCTCTTTGTCGATCAACAGCAGGCTGTCTACGTGTCAGACAACAACAATCATCGTGTGATGAAATGGAATAAAGGTGCAGACGAAGGAATCGTCGTCGCTGGAGGCCAAGGCAAAGGGAATGCTCTGACACAACTGTGGCATCCTAATGGACTGTTCGTCGATACATTGGTACCATCTATGTAGCAGACTCGTGGAATCATCGAGTGATGCGTTGGCCTAATGGGGCGACACAGGGCACTATTATTGTGGGTGGAAATGGTGAAGGAAAAAGAGCAAATCAGTTGAATAATCCCGAGGGTTTGTCCTTCGATAGACATGGCAGTCTATATGTTGTCGATTCGATGAATAATCGTGTTCAACAATTTTCTATCGAATAGGCTTCTGACGATGAATTTTTTTCTTTCTTTTTCTTCAAATAAATCACGTTGAATTGATGAAAGAGAGTGTGAGTGTCGGTGTGGGGTGTGGGTGTCGGTGGGTGTGGCTGTGGGTGTGGATGTGGGTGAGCAAAAGGGATCCACACCCACACCCACACCCAAGGGTGTGTTTATTCCATCTGAACTCGCACCCACTCTCTCCACCCACACGCAATCCGCACTCACATCCACACCCTCAAGAATGCAGATATTTATGAATTAATAGCTGAGAATGCTCTTGGTTTAATTGATTGTACATTTCATGTAAAATATTCTTTTTGTAAAAAAATATTTAATCAAAGTTTTTTCATGTCTTTTTGAATTTCATCACCAATCAATATTACTTATGTAATATTTTACAAAAAGGAAATCATTTCCGAAGCATCAGACATATAAAAATTACTAATCCTCAAATTAATTAGTGTTGGTAAACGAGAGGTTATACAATTATCATCGGTGCGTATGATAATTAATATCTGAAAATATTTGAGACGAGATGTGTATTTCAACAATCGATTTATCTCATTCCATTTAATTTCACTTCCATATATATTTATACATTCGAGGGTAGATGAAATTTTTATTGGTGTACAAAAAATCTGTTTTCCTTTGACATAAATACAAAAATTGCAACGAGTGAGTTTTGATAGATTTCAAATACTGTCACCAATTAACTGAATATCAATTTGACTAATTTGGAAACGACGAGTGTAGAATATTAACGGGCAAAATTGCTGGTGTGCATCGACGATTTGTATTAATGTTCAATAAGACTGAAGATTATGGATAAGGAAAGTGATCGTGAATGAATAAATTGACTGAATGATGGCATGTAAGAAAGAAATATTAATTCAATTCTATGAATCATTTTATATACAAACATTAGTATTGAATAGAAAAGTATTTATAAATATATCTTTAGAAAAATAGCTAGCGCGTGGCAGAACGATTTAAATGGTGTTGTGTAGGGACTATATATGACCATATCGAAAGAGCAAAAACTATAAGAATCATTTTGATTTGTGCACTTTAATCACTGATCGATAATGAGTTTGAATAGTCTATGGAATAATTGTGAATGAGGGTCAAATGATTATCTTCTCTTCACCTTCACCCACTCATCCATCCTCAAGATAGATAGATATTTTCAACAATATGTTAGACTGATGCAATCTCGTTATCAGCATCATCTTGTCGAATAGTTTGATGATTTCAAGTGCTTAATTAAGAAGAATAAACGTTCGCATCTATAAAAGCATACAAATCCCAAAATACTTGAAACAACAATGTCAACGTGTGCATGAATACTCAAGAGAAATGTTAACATATTTGAGAGCAGTAGCTGTGATGATCGTATCCAAGCATATCAATCCATCTTTATACATTGATTCTCTACTGTCACTCTCATTTAGTGGAGAGATGATGGAACACAATCATGATTCTTAGTTCACCTTTCAAGCACTTTTTAATATATTTTATTTTGTTTAACCTAAAGTGTTAATGTGAAGAACAGAAATCACTTCACGTATAGCCTTGTTCAAAGCAATAAGACGAACATCTTCCAAAGGACAATTGAGATCAGGACTTTGCTCACCGTTGTAAATGACATGAAGCGAAGTACCAAATGAGACACTCTTGATGCAAAACCTGGGAGGAAATTGATTGAGTGGTAAAGCTGCTTGAACACTTTCAAAAACACTATTGGTAAGCGCAGATGAAAGGCGTATGCTCATCACTGATGTTGTGCTACTTGGTGTTGAAGGTGTGGTTATCAACAGTGGACGTCGATGTGCTACAGTCCATTGAACTATTCCATCACGTCGTAATTCGATCGTATAACCGGCAGTATTTGTTGAACCCGAATTAACAATACGTACAATATTGTGTTCACTATCCGATGAAACAATGGCAACGCATACTGTGACAACGAGAATTAAAAGGATAGACGAACGCATCATGTTGACAATCGAGTGTAAGAATGAAAGTAAAGAAAAAAAAATGAAAATACGAGATATTTTATGTTTTTACATTGCAGTATGAGAATATTTGCCATCTGTTGATGTGCATACAACAAAAAAAAATACTTCTCAACGATATTCGAACTTTACTCTTTGGGCAATCACGAACAATACAAAACCGTAGAAGAGAAAGGACACATTTTGCCGTTAAATATTAAAATGGCTTGGAATAGTCATTTGAAAACTTATCAATCAACTAAGTGTTTAGTCAATGTGACAATGAGTGATGCTTTCTGATTGCTTCATTCAAATCTCACTCTGTAATCACTTTACGATTCAATCATTCAGTCAGAGAGATTTTTTCGTCTTGATTTCCAGAATAATGCTTAGAGTCAACATTTTATTAAATGAATTATGAATCTTTCAGAAATAAACTTTTATGATAGCTGATATTATTTGCTATCAAAATCGATCAAGATAATGGAATGATTTTCCTACTTCTCACTCTAAAGAGATCATCTTATCATTATAAGAATAAAGTGTACCTGTTTTCACAGGTTTGATTAACAAATCTTTATCTTATTCTTTTATGCAAGCACATTCTGACAAAATTGTTGGTCTTAACCTTGCGATCGTGTTCATCGGATAAACAATGGTTCGTCTCTTTTATCTTCTTCTCATTATGAGAATTTCAATTAATTCTCAACCTTCTTTCTCTATAATCAATATGATATCGAACGTTGGATTTGTGCAATCGAAAATAATTTCTACTTTATTGGCCATGTTCGAGTCAAAGCATATCGATGAGAATAAATGCATCTGTACGAAGTGTATGTATCGCAGTAGATTTATCTCATATCTGATTTGATTTCTTTTCTTTCGTTGGATTGAAGATATACCAGTATTCTTCATTTTGTTTATCTTTTCACTGGCAAGGCAAATACATAGAACCATATTGAGGAGTACATTGAATCTAATTGATATGAGAGTCAATTTTCTCGAGTATTCTTATTTAAATTTCGATTTAGATATTAGTACGCCTATCGAATGAGTAAATTATAGTACTTGGACTGATCAATTGTCAATTAGAAAGGTAGAAGCCAATATGTGACCAGCGGAGAGAAACAGACTATTAACAGTATCCATCGAAGGAATAGCTCGAGAATCATTCATATATGGTTGATATAATAAAACAATTGTTTATCGAGATTAGTCTTTACCATTCATCTTCGATTCATTGGCTTTTAAAATAGAGAATATGCCGAATTATGATCAATGATTATGACTAAGTTTATGATCAAATTAGAATGAAGAATAATTTTTTCTGCAACATGCTAATCAGGAATTGATAGGCAACAGATTCGTTAGGTATGCTTATCTGTCTAGTTGATTAGTCAAAGCTAAGCTGTGAAACGAATTTATTACTTTGAAAAATTAGCAGAATATGAATATTGAGCAGTAAGATGAAAAGCAAATAATTATGCAAAGACGTTTTTATATAAGCACATTTCTTCGATTTGTTTTGTTTCTAATAATCGTCATAATCAACGTCGTCTTCCATGCCATAATTACCGTGTACGGCTGTCAAATGTTCATATATACGATCTCCATATGTTTTAACACATAGCCAACACCAATGAGCATCACATGCAGTACATGTGATATGATTACAACCACCATTTTTATTTATTGCTATGCCACAGATTTGTTTTGTTCTTTCATTGATGCCCGGACAATATTTGACAGTGATATTTTTAGGCATTCTGCGAATTTCGTCACATTCATCACAAACAAAATCTGTGAGCAAAGGAATATTACCATCTTCCATGCAACTTTTTTCTCGTGCTTTCTTAACTTTATAACAATCTACACGCCAACCATAATACCAATGTTCATCAATATCATCTTTCTTGTCTGATCTTAATATAGTACATACTTGTTTGTTATATTTTTTGAGAATTTTTCCATTAGGAACATGTTTACAGAATGGACATAATAGATGTGCCGTTAACACAATACTACCAGGTTGAACAGCTTGATACCATTTCATTAAACATTCAGTACATGCTTCAGCATGACATAATTTATTACCACATGTATCATTGATTTTATTACGTGGAAAATCATCACAACAGATATAACAAGTGACCCATTCGGATTTGCCACTTTGTATCCATGTCTGAATCTGATTGAAAACTGCCGTAGAATTTAATATTGATTTATTCCTATGAACTAATGGCATGATTGAAGATGAGAATGATACTAAGTTGATATCTTCTGTCTTTCCGAATTCAACTTTATCTTTTGATTTAAAAAGTGACCATGCTGTAGACAAAATATCAATATCATCTTTAACCTTGATATTTAAATATTTGAATAGTTGTACTTTGTTCTCATTAATTAATGTATCAATCGAAACTGGAATATCGACTGTAACCTTATTTGTGATAGAATGTTGACATTCAGCACAAAGAAATGTATATTCTTTACCATGATTTGGTGCCGATTCAGTCGAATCATAGTGTATATATTTATTCTGAAATCTAGCACAACGACGATATGGTGCTTCTCTAAATAAATCACGACAGTAATAACATTTCGGTGATGAATATCCAGTACATGGTTCAGGTATATCTTTAAGATTATGTTGTGGTAAACATAATGCACAACAACTGGTGCCTACATCAGGAAATAATGTTGTCGATCGTAGAAAATGACAGGTTTTACATTGAATTTTTGCATCATGATAAATTTCTTTAACACTTGGAATAAATGGTTGTTCAATGTTAACACATGTAGCAGCATTGATTTTTAATCCCCCTATCGTATACAATTTTTGAAAGAACAAGTTTTCATTTTCAGTAAAAAATTCTGGTAATTTAACACAAAGTTTACTAAATGCATAAGTACAATTCTCCGGAAGCTCTAAATCAAGCCATTGATCTTTGATACGAGTTAAAAAATGTCTTGCTCGTTCGTGTAAAATACCATTCTTTGATAAGACACATATCATACCCACAATTGCAGCTGGACGTAATGAAAATTTGAGCCTTCTGCTAAAAGATGAGGCAATAATTCGAATATGTCACTATCATTCATGGCTAATGGTAAATAATTTCGCGGTAAATAATATGAATTTGTTACGATGGTAAGATGATTCAATAAAGACATAACCGTACGCAGTACGTCTGAATTACAGGATCGAGTGATTTCCAATAATTGACTTCTCGTCATTTTGTTCTCTAATGTCAATACCAGAGCTGGTACTCGTTCTTTAACCTCGGAAATTCTCGCGAGAATTTCTTCTATCCATGCTCGAACTATGGCAGCATCATCTTTCGATCTCACATTCGAATCTAATGTAGCTAATGTTCGCGATAAAGTTAATAAGAGTTCATCTCTACGTACATCTTTTCTTTGTTCACAAATGAGACGCCATAATAATCCTAATATACTGTTGTGTGTCAACGCCACAATATGTTGAGGTGTCATCAAGGATTCAAATGTTTGATATACAACCTTTTTATATGCGTCATCTTTTTCAAATTTTTCCAACATGAGTCGTGAATCAACTGCCATAAATGGTATTCGTTTTGTACTAAACGATTTCCACTCAACGAATGCTTTCTTCTTTAATTTCGTACTAGGTAAGTAGCAAACATCTACTAGAATCCAAGAAAAAGAGTCTAGTTATTCATATTTCTAAATAAATATCATTCTTACCTTAAGAATAAATTAATAGTACATTTTGAAATAGTTTTTATATCGGTTTTCTTGAGATATAGTGTTTTTCCTCGTGTATATTGACTCAAGAGAATGTAAAATGATGATGTTTCAAATGATGCATCATTAATCATTGAAAATACTTTACATCCCGTTTCTTGATATAGTTGACATAATTGAACCCAATCTTTTTCTTTAACATTTTTTTCTTCTTGCGCCCAATTAGATCCTCCAGTTTTCGGATGATGTGGTGGTGCATCTGTATAGATTAGTACAATGGCATTAGAATCGATCAAGTTCATATCTAATGCTGTCTTTGTAGCTTCTGAAATATCAGCTCCACCAATCCGTTGTAAATCATTCAGAAATACGGAAATTTTGTTTATATCAGTCGTGTAACCGGAGAAGTTGGTGACTTTGTTACGAGGCTGATCATAATCACGATACCCTAAAAGAAAAACAGATACTATTATCACACTATTAAAACTCTACCGATGATTTTTGTCTATGACTAGTCAATTCGAATTTCATTTCACGAGTTTGAATTGAATTATTCAAAATTTTCATATTGCAAATCAATATTACTTACATAAAATCCCAATTTCTGACTTTTTTTGTGAAGTAAGCTTCATGATGGATGCGATCTGATAAAGAGAAATCGTCAAAGAATTTAGAAATATTCCCATGGATTCCGTTGCATCCACAATGAATAGAACACCATAATCAATTTCATCGTTAGATTTCGGCTCTGATAACCACTGGCCCATGTTTATTGTTTTGATAATGTCGACAAAATCACAATGTTGAAACGAAGTCGTCTTTCTATTTTATACGACGAGTAATTTCTTTCCTTTTCGCCATTTTTTCGTGCCGTTGCAGTATCATATGCAATTGAATTGCACAACTGTTATCTGTTATCAGTACATGGAGATTGGATTGCATTTCTCAGACACATATTACAAAATGATGTTATAAAACGTGCCTCATTAATGTGGATTGAGAACGATCATTTTTGATTGATGGTCGATTTTTTTCTCCTTTTGCCGTGGACTTTGATATTTCGCGAGAAAGTAGGTAAGAAAAAACAATAGTAAAGATCCCATTCTCTTAAAATGCCCATTTTTATTCTCGGAAAGAAAAAAGATAGTTTATTAGAAAAAAAATGTTGACCAAGCATGTAATATGATTACAAATAAACATAAAAAGATAATTTTTGTTAAACAGAGAATCTTGAATATATAACCGGAAAAAAAACAGTTCAATTCATATTTTTTATAATTGATTTTTTCCTTATTCGTTTTTATTTTTGTTGTTTCTTTTCCTTTTCGTTGAATTGTTTTGACTTTCCATATTCATAATGACTTCCATCTGCATATTTCTCTCCGTCTTTGTTAGCTGGATGATAGTAGTTTTTTTGTCCTACTTCATGAGCAGTGTGATGAATAGGCGATCGTCCACGACTATGACGTCGAGCACGTTCTTCAGCGTCTGCTTTGCTATTGCATTGTATGAAGTGTTGATGTGGCTTGCTACTGCCGCCTGTTTTTCGAGAAACATGATCACTCATTTTCAAAAAAAAAAAATTCAAATAAATAACCTTTCAATCTTAAATAAATAAGAAAAACAGTTAGATCAAAGAGTTATCTTACCCGAGAATACTTTAGAGATCGTTTGAGTACAGCTTGAGTGAATCTTAATGTGGATTTCGTAGAATGTTAAGTTTGACGCTTTTTCTTTTTCAATTTTCAACAAAAACCAGAAAAATCTTACCCAGAAAGTCGGAACTGGTTCTGGAGAATTTGTTTTGAGAGCAATGCGTAATAGAAAATCTGTTGAGGATACTCTTAAATGCGGTAATAAGCTTGAATTTCTCAAGACAGAACAAAGTGAGTTATGGTTTATTGTGAAATAACAGAAATAACAACAACACGAATAGAGACAATGAAAGAGAAGAGAACGAACCAAATACACACACGTGTAGATGCCCACATATCTATATATAGGATAGAGAGAAAGGAATAAGCCAACATGGATGAGAGGAAAGGAAGAATCTATATATATATACATAGAGAATGTATAATGGAAAAGACCAACAAATATGTTCTGAAAAGTTATCAGGGAAGTTTCCAACATGTAACATACAAGGCATATTAGAATTTACCTACAATATGTAATTTTGAATGAATTTTTTATATTGACTTTAATCTGTATAAAGCACATCACTTGATAACACTTTATCTATAAGAATGAATAAACTGTTATCGAGTGATATGCAGGTGACGTCTTTATGGTCTATTTTAAGGATGAATTCATGGAGGTTGTACCAAGTTTGCGACAAATGTCGTCGATCGTTTTGAAAATAGTGTAAATCGACGGGGCGTTGGTGGCGATCAGCAGCTATAGTAAAATATGTGATAGAAGTTTTTTGTGTTCCAACACAGATTAAAGGACGTGGACCATTAAGACTACTTCGTGGTCCATAAAATTCCCGCTTTTCTGCGCTGAAATGACGCCAGGGTATGCCCAGGAACATTCCTTTATACCTGTGTGTATTCGCTTATAACTACACACGATCTCTAGACCCTTCAACCTATATCTTTGAACATATACTCAGGTGCCTACATCCGTATCACTACCTACATACTTATTTAGGGGTGCGAGAGGTACTTGATCTGTCTCTTCTCTACACTCATATAAACTTGAATAGATCTCATAAAAACGAAACATACGAACAGATGAGAACAGGACGAAACAAAAAAAACGCAGTGCAAAGTTACATGTAGAAATAAACACTAATAGTCAAGAGCAATGTGAAGCATATGGATACTTGGAAAAACATATTAGTCATATTATATTTCGAACCATATCAAAAACTTTCAGGAAGTACTTGGACTTATTACATTCGGCAGTAAATGGAAGAATTCAATGCTAATAGCATCCAAAAAAAACAAAATATTCTGAACGGAAAAAAGTAGTGGCAGTAATGGGGGTAAAATTTTGATGCTAACACCTACGTAAAATTTTATCACCATATTTCTGGAAAGGTAGGTGTGGGTGTGGGTGGGTGTCGGTGTAGGGTGTGATGTTGTTTTCCACAACCACATCCACACCCCAAAGAGATGAGAACACACTAGAGAACATGCGAGAGAATATATATGATCCATGCAGAAAAAAAAGAGAAAGAATACAAATGTATCTGACCATAGAAAAAAAGAGGATGTATACGCATTCTGGCATGATAGCAGAATGAAAGAAGATATAGATGTATACATATATGCTGACGTCATAATAATACTAGAAAGAAAAAAATGATGCCAAAATACTGACTACGCCTCAGAGCCTTCGTGCCACAGGTCTCTATTTATTATTATCTGCTTGTTCTCATCTTCAGGTAACATATAGTTAGAAAAAGTAAACAATCCCCTAAGACGAGCACTACGATAGTGGTAAACGATCGTATACGGCGTCGTATGCGATCGTACACGGTCGTATACATTGTATATTACGATCGTATACGACCGTAACTCGCGGTATTACTCGCCGTCTGAATTAGGGTGTGGGTGGATGAGTGTGGGTGTAGATATGGAGAAGACACCCACACCCACACTCCACCTACACCCACACCCACATCCACACCCACATCCCACACACACCCACAACCTACTCACACCCACACCCAGAGCCACCCATATCCACATCCATACCCACACTCACCCACATCCACACCCATACCCACACACCCACACCTATACCCACATCCACACCCATACCCACACACCCACACCTATACCCACACCCACACTCATACCCTAAGATTACGCATAAAAATCCCACTATGAGCATAGTATTTACCATTGGGTGCGTTCATGGGGGCCACTTTGAAAATTATAGTAACCTCGTTTCGATCACGGTACAATTGCACTCCGATCCAGTGATTGGAAAGAATCTATAATTGCTTCCTTCGGAGTCATAAAGAAGCTTATCAGCGCATTAGGACATTGTTTCTCAGTAAAACAAAAAGGTGAAAGCTTAGCTGAAAACATAGACGAGATGCGTTTTGTATGTTGATGCACATGAAACTAGGCTGAATTCTATGGATTCAGACTATCTATTGCTCCACCTGCATTACTTGGGAGCCCCTAGAAAAAATGAAAGACGGTTAGTCTAATTCGTCAACAATTCTCTTCCTACATTTAAGTCGAGAACTATAGACTTGAACAGAAAGAAAATTGCTAATTGGTTACATCAGTTGTTGCTTAATGGTGTGCGGCATATTCAGTGAAGAGAAAATTAAGTTTTCAATTGTGGACTAAATTAAAATTGACTTTATTTATGTTTCTTTCCGTTCGAATTATCACAAAATCTTTGGAAAGATGGAAAAAAATCAAACTACATGTGACAGTATTGTTTTTTCGTTCCTACCAGGCAGAAAAATGGTTGTTTTTAAATCGCTGAAAAAGAAACATTGCAATATATTACAACGCTGAATTCCTTTCTTTTTCGTTTCTTGTTTACAATTCAATTTTCGTTGGCGACTACCTCAAATTACTATTCAATGTCAACAAAAAATAGCACATGTGAACTCATAAAAAAATTCAAGAAAAAAGTTCCTTGCTGCCTCAATAGCAAAAATTATTTCTGTTTGTATTTCAAACAACTTCTCTGCGCTCTTGGTTAGTTACGAAGTGACAAAAAAATTCAAAATGACTGAGACAAAATCAAACGAAACACTTTATACATCCACGATGTATACTACAAGCAACGCGACACCATTATCGAGCATCATGGAGCCAACGCAACGCATGACTGAGAGCTATGTGATTATATGGATCGACGAGAATATTCACCCAAACAATGAAAAATGTAAAAATACACTTACACAACTGCAAAACGTGGTCACTGAAGTATACACTTTCAACGGACTCGATGAAGGTATAGATTTTCTCACTGACCTCAATGACCAAAAGGCATTTCTCATTCTGTCAAATTCTAAAGATCAAGACATGATACCCGTCGTAGACGATATTCCTCCTCTTCTGAGTATTTATATTTTCTGCAGCACGGAATCCCTAATCCATAATTGGATCAAGAATTCCGACAAAATTAAAGGTATATACACAGATATCAATCGTCTCCGCGAAGCACTACTAGATGCCATCAAACGATGTTACAAAAACGATATCGCTATGAGCTTTGTCAACATTGGCGAAAATAGTTTAAAAGTAAACCTAGATCAAATAGAACCCTCATTTATGTACACACAGCTATTTAAAGAAATTGTCCTTCAAATCGATCATAACAAAGAAGAAATCACAGACTTTATTCAATTTTGGCGGGAAAAATCTAACAACAATAAGATAACGTTGGATACTATCAACGAGTTCGAGAAGAATTACAGTCCTGAGACGTCAATTTCCTGGTATATTCATGACTCTTTCATCTACCAGACGGTTAATCGGTCACTTCGAACATTGGATACTCTAACAATGAAGAAAATGAGTTTTTTCATTCGAAATCTTCACTACCAACTCGAACAATTTCACAAAGAACAGTCTACAAAAACAGACAATGTACCTTTTACCGTATACCGAGGACAAGGATTATCCAAAGCTGATTTCCAGAAACTTAAAAGAACCAAGGGCGGACTTCTCTCATTTAACAACTTTTTATCTACCAGCCGAGATCAAGACGTTTCCCTAGCATTCGCCGAAAGTAACACATCAGACGCTAACTTAGTCGGTATACTTTTCATAATGAGTATCACACCTTCAATTTCAAGAACTCCCTTCGCCAACATCCAAACAATGGGTTCGTTTCAAGACGAAGAAGAAATCCTCTTTTCTATGCACACGATTTTTCGTGTCAAAGAAATCAAACAGATCCTCAACAATTCCAACCTATACGAAGTACAACTCATTCTCACCAACGACGATGATCCACAACTATCTCTTCTCACGCACTCTATACGGCAGGAACACAGCGGAAATGGCTGGAATCGCATGGTTCACTTGATGCACACGCTTCACCACTACCAAACATCCCAGGAAATTTGTGATCACCTACTAGCCACATCTTCCACGAACATAGAGCGAGCGAATGCCCTGAATAGCCAAGGAGTAATCGAAGACCAACGAGGCAACTACCCAAAAGCACTTTCATCGCTGGAAAGATCACTTGAAATCCAAAAAATAGCTCTCCCTCCGAATCATC